AAATTATAAACAAATTCTTAAATCTTTATCTTGATCTCCAAAAATACCCAAAAGAGGGTTGCCAACAGCCTCCTAAACTCTTTTAATTCTGAATTTGAATGGATGTTTATAAGGTTTTAGAAACCCTAATTGAAATAGAAGTAGGATTTGAAACAGAATAAGAAACTTGAATGTTCGACGCTGAATGTATAATGCTCATACTCTGAATTACGTAACGACACAAAACAAGAAACAAAAAGTTTGATTTTGGACTATTAACCCATAGTGTCGACACCCATATTATGTATTTAAGAATAAACCTAGCAAAATTAAGACAACAACTTAGACAACAACCCAGCAAAATGAAGACGACAACCTTGGCAAGTGCACACTATTCAAGAAGGTAGGGTTTTAAGAATAAAGTTGCAATTCACTTATAACTTATAAAGGTAGAATTGTAAGGGAATTTGAAATTTAGAATTAAAATTTAGGTATATAATTAAAAAATAAATAAATTAATTAAGAAATATAAGTTTATATTTTTAAATTTATTTATTTTTAATTTCAATATAAAATATACATAAAGATTGAGAAAAATTAAAATATTTTAATAATTATAATGTCAAAAATAATAAAAAAACTTAAATATCTTTAATAAATCAACATAAATAAAAATTCAATAAAAGAATCTTAACCATTTCACTAGATATCCTAATATTTTACAATATATATTGTAGTGATGTGCCCGAGATCAATGATTTTGGGCATCTGAGATGGGACCTCTAAGTCTTTCCTCACTCTGAGGCCGACCATCGATTGCAAGTAAGACCCACAGATGACCATTTTAGACAATTTGTACCTTTGAGATGTTCACTCTACCAACCACACTATGCTTTGATTAATGTTTTTTTGACGATCACGTGGATATCATTATTAGGCCTATAAATACCCCTAACAACCCTTCACAAAGGTACTTTTTTGAAACCTAAAGCTTTTGCCTAACTTCCTTTTCATCAGGGGTAAACTATCGCTAATTTAAGTATTGAAATGATTATCCCGAGATTCACACTTGAGACTCTGCAGGTTGTTCATGCAGTTGATCTCGGATTGGGGGAATTGATATATTCTATCCAATCATATTTGTATATGTCTTTCTATTAAAAAAAGATTAAAACATATTATGTTTCACCACGTGGTTGTGGTGGTCATATTTTTCATTGAATGAGAAGTATGTGTAGGCGTCCGATTCTCAGGTTGGGTTTTAAACTTGATATTTTTTTTTTGTCAAACAAAAATTAATATTATTAATGTAAATTTTGATATTAATATTATTAATGTAATTTTGATATTAATATTATTAATGTAATTTTAATTGTAAAAAAAAAAAGAAGATTAAGACATACTTAATAAAATAGAACGAGAATGAATGTCAAAATTGAAACCGATTAAATACATCTAGAGAGCAAAATTGACATTTTCATATATATATATATATATATAATGTAGTTAATAAATACATAAGTGTGTATATATATATATATATATATTTGATTGCCTTGAAGAAATTGGGTTTTACCAAATCATAGTGATGGAGCCATCGGAGAGTAACAGTAGATTGAGA